ACCTTACACGAAATAGGGTGAATACATCTCATTACACTGATTTACTGGTAGTCTCAAAACCCTACTCAATCCCAATAGAATAGACACTTAGTCAGCCGAGAGACTGTCGATTAAGCAAATACACTTTCAATATTGCAAGCGCAAAAGAGTCGTGAAGTCTGTGTGGCAGAGTGGCTATACTGGCGTACCTTTCATGTCGTCTGAAAGATATTTGCAAATTGACTTCGTTGCAGGCCGATGAAGGTCTTTCGTTTCCGATGATGCTTCAAATTGCCTCTTCAAACAAAATAAAATGTAGGCCAACACCACTTTATTGCGGAGGTGTTGAAAATCCGGCTTTTCTTCGTGTCTAACGTCGTGGCAACGCGTCGCCACGGGGCTGCCGACCCCATCTCCAGTCGCGATTAGACTCGGTGATGTTTAAAAGATTAGTCCGGTCCAGCCGCGACGAGAGAACCGTTTGGTAGAACCGAATGAAACGGGAAATATCCACTTTTAGTCTTCAACAGGTCCAGGGTGATTCGACTTATCATCCCAAACGAACAAGCTCTTTTCACTTGGCTCTCGAAGCAAGGTCTCATTCCAGCTTTGCCAACCCAACCGCGGGTCTCGGCAGAAATGGCGTCGATGCGGACAGACGGTTTGACCTCACCAGCACCTCGAGACGCAGCCACAATTCGATATCATGCCGTTGTGAAGAGGACTTAGGCAAGATGGGTGCAAAAAGTAGCCTCTCCGCCTGCTCAACTGTACATCAAACCGTTTTCCACGCCACACCCGGCCTGTATTGCATGCGGGGACGAGCAGAATGTGTCGCCAATCAAGTGAAGCCGGAAAGCCCCGAAGTTGCCAAGACACCTCGGTATATCGATAGTTAAGTACGCATTTGGCATAGCAACTAGTAAGAGTAGGTAAAATGTGATTTAATTATTCTGCAATGGCAGACGTAACTTGAGTGGATCTTTGACCCAGGCCCATTTTACTCTCGTCGCCTCGGCCAGCATGGATCTGTTGGGCAATCTGGCTCCAATGCTGTTGGACAAAGCGAAAGACAAGGCTTTGAGTATGGCAAAAGACCCGAAGAATCTGAAAGCCGTCAAAGATGCCATTTCAGCCCCAAAGTCCCCCCCCTCGAATCGTGAAGACGTTCCGGCCAAATCCAACACTTCGAAGCCCACCAAGAAACCGGTCAAGCCGGCTGATCCGTCTCCCAAGCCGAGTCCGATCGAGCCAACTCCGGTTCAGATCATCTACGCCTCGTTGCCGTCGCGAGGCCGCAGACGTGGCCGACGCGGCCGGCACCGGTCGAGGTATGCTCGGGTGCGCCGAAGGGCCAAACGTCACCGCCGTCTGCGAAAGTATTATGAACGACAAATGATGATGATGATGCTGTGATCCATGCGCACCGATCAGTCTTGCGTGCCGATCAG